TCTGGAATAATTGAAAGCTGGCTTTGTTAAATATTATTTTCTATGGTATTAAGTAAATTTTAAAAATACTTAAAACCTAGAGAGGTACTATAAGTAAAGACGTATAAATGAAGTCTACATTTATTTGACAGCTACATAATTTTCTTTTTCCTGTAAAAAAAGAACTTCCAGTTTCCCAAGACTCAACATTGAGTTCAATCAGAGGTAAAGATTCTGGACTATCGGATTAAATGAGGAGGCAGGAACTATTCTCTCTTGCAGGTGGGCAGCCAACAAAGCAACTTCAACAGAACAGCAATTGGTCCTCTGGTCACTTGGGAAACTCAGAATTAATTGATATGGACATCAATAAGGGAGAAGCAATTCCTTTGTAAACAAACAAAACTGAACTCATATGAAATGACCTAGAAAACAGATGACAGGAGACCTTTCCAGTTTGTGATTTAGTAGAGAATAGGAGCTCTGTTTCTGTCTGACCTCTGAGACATCTTTGCAGATACTGAAAATACTGTGATAAACAGTGCAGACTCTAGAGTCTTTGAAAAATTCTTTCCCTCTGGCCAAACAGTACAAGTAGAATTTGTTTTCCAAATCAAAATCCAGATTCTATGAATTTTATATTTAAATATGCTCAGCCAACAGCAGGGACCTTACATTATAAAGCTAAATGCTTTCTGAAGCCATGTTAGAAGAATATAGTCCTGTTGCAATATGTAATATACAATTTCTAATACAGTGTGAAGCCAGGGCCAGGGATGAAGATATGGACACATTTCAGCTTGCCAGGGATGCTGTGATATGGGTGAGCATGAGCTTTGTCTATGGGCCGAATCGCATTCCTCCAAAATTAATATGTTACAGTCCTAAGCCCTAGTATCCCTGAATGCAACTGTGTTTGGAGATAGGGTCTTTAGAGATGTGATTAAATTAAAATGAGGTTGTTAGGGTGGTTCCTAATCCGATATGACTGCTATCCTTACAAGTAGAGGAAATTTGCACATGTACAGAGAAAAGTCTATGTAAAGACTCAGGGAGAAGACCATCTACAAGCCAAGAAGAAAGCCTTCAGAAGGAACCAATCCTGCTGATACCTTGAACTTGGGCTTCTGGCCTCTACACTGTGAGAAAATAAGTTTTTGTTGTTTAAGGCATCTAGTACTTTGTTATGGCAGCCTGAGCAAACTAATACAAGTTCCATTTGTAGTATAAGCCGTTAAACATCATTAGATAGTCTTTGCATTCAACAAAGACTGGTTTTCACCATTAAGACAAGCTGCTCCTTCTACCACTTGGGAGGAAAACAGCTTAAGGAGAGGAGTTAGGTGAGTACGAGTCAGTGCAAGGGCCCCTAGAGTAAGGGCAAGGGAGAGGGCAGTGTGTGAAAGGAAGGGCTAATTTTTTTTCTTCAATGCCTAGTTTTGTTTTCATTTTTTTCTCTACCATTTTGTTTTTATAAACTAAGGGCTTTTTAAAAATGTTTATTTTTTAAAAAAAGAAAATCCTCTATTGCTTTCTTATCACAAGAGATTTAACTGTTCATTGTAGAAATATTCCATGCTCATGGTTAGGAAGAATCAATACTGTGAAAATGGCCATACTGCCCAAAGTAGTTTATAGATTCTATGTTATCCCCATCAAGCTACCATTGACCTTCTTTACAGAACTGGAAAAAAACCACCTTAAACTTCATATGGAACCAAAAGAGAGCCTGCATAGCCAAGACAATCCTAAGCAAAAAGAACAAAACTAGAGGCATCATACTACCTGACTCAAACTATACTACAAGGCTATAGTAATCAAAACAGCATGGTGCTGGTACCAAAACAGAGATATAGACCAATGGAATAGAACAGCGGTCTTGGAAGCAATGCCACACATCTACAACAATCTGATCTTTGACAAACCTGACAGAAACAAGCAGTGGGGAAATGATTCCCTGTTTAATAAATAGTGTTGGGAAAACTGGCTAGCCATATGCAGGAAGCTGAAACTGGACCCCTTCCTTACATCTTATACAAAAATTAACTCCAGATGGATTAAAGATTTAAACATAAGAACTAACAACATAAAAACCCTAGAAGAAAACCTAAGTAGAACCATTCAGGATATAGGCCCAGGCAAGGACTTCATGACTAAAACACCAAAAGCAATGGCAATGAAAGCCAAAATAGACAAATGGGACCTAATTAAACTTAAGACCTTCTGCACAGCAAAAGAAACAATCATTAGAGTAAACCGGCAACCAACAAAACGGGGAAAATTTTTCGCAATCTACCCATCAGACAAAGGGCTAATATCCAGAATCTACAAAGAACTAAAACAGCTTTACAGGAAACAAACAAATCCATTCAAAAGTGGGCAAAGGATATGAACAGATGCTTTTCAAAAGAAGACAAATATGCAGCCAACAAACATATGAAAAAATGCTTATCATCATTGGTCATTAGAGAAATGCAAATCAAAACTCCATTGAGATACCATCTCATGCCAGTTAGAATAGTGATCATTAGAAAATCTGGAGACAACAGATGCTGGAGAGGATGTGGAGAAATAGGAACACTTTTACACTGTTGGTGGGAGCGTAAATTAGTTCAACCACTGTGGAATACAGTGTGGCAATTCCTTAAGGATCTAGAAACAGAAATTCCATTTGACCCAGCAATCCCATTACTGGGTATATACCCAAAGGATTATAAATTGTTCCATCATAAAGACACATGCACGCATATGTTCATTGTGGCGCTGTTTATGATAGCAAGGACTGGAATCAACCCAAATGCCCATTGATGATAGAATGGACAAAAAAAACGTGGCACATATACACCATGGAATACTATGCAGCCATAAAAAAATGATGAGTTTGTTTCCTTTGTAGAGACATGGATGAACCTAGAAACCATCATTCTCAGCAAACTGACACAAGAACAGAAAACCAAACACCGCATGTTTTCACTCATAGGCGAGTGATGAACAATGAGAACACTTGGGCACAGGGAAGGGAACAACACTCATAGGGCTAGGTGAGGGTGTGGAGGGGAGGGGAGGGGGACACTGGAGGAGAGGGGATAACACCGGGAGAAATGCCTGATGTAGGCGATGGTGGTGGTGGCGGGGGGGGGGGGGAACAGCAAACCACCATGGCATATATGTACCTATGCAACAATCCTGCAGGATGCAGGACGTGCCCATGTACCCCAGAGCCCAAATACAAAAAAATGGAAAAAAAAAAAAAAAAAAAAAAGGAAAATCCTCTATTGCTTTCTCATTACAAGAGATTCACCTACCTGTTCATTGTAGAAATATTAGGAAATACAGATTTAAAAAAATGAAGAAACAAAATATAACTGTGATCACACCACTCAAAGATAACTGTTTATACATTCTTGTAAATCTTTCCAGACTTTTCCCTATATATTCATGAATTTATATAATACACATAAATGGAATGATTTATTTTTTCTTTTCATCTTTCTGTGTCAATAATTTTTAATTTAGAGCATCATCCCTAATGTCTGATATTGTTTCATTGTATCTATTATATCCTAGAAATAGAATTTGTGGGTAGGATGTGTCTAGGCTTAGACATATGTAAAGACTTTTAATATGTTTTGCCAAATTGCCCTCCAGAAAGGATGTACCCATTTATATTCAGAAAGTCTATTTTGAGTGCAACATAAAGCCCTGTCACTGGTAACTCTTGACTCAGCTGCTCAAGGGCTTTCAGCCAAAATCCTAAGAGAAGAGTGAGGAAACTAGAGGACACTGAAAAGTTGTGCCACAAGTGACTCAGATCCTGCAAGTGGCTCAACGGAGGAGTGTCCCGTGTTGGTGGCGGAGGTTTTTCCTCCCTTAGCACAGGACAGGTTGGGGGGAAGCAAGGCAGGATAAGACGACTTGAGCCCATATGGGAGCTGCAAGCTCCGCCAGGAGGAGCCATGTCAGTGCAGCCACTAGGGGTCGCCCTGAAGAGCATGGCACTCACGGGGTGTGGAGTGAAGCGTGAAGAGGAGACTTGTGTTGCTCACTTAAGCGTGGAAGAGATATCCCTGAGGACCTCTGAGTAAGCTGGGAGGAACCCGTGGACTGAGGTTCCAGGGATTTCACTGCAGGGAGCCTGAGATCATTGTGATTACGACCCCTGGTTGTTAATTTTATTCCTTGGGCTTTCAGGGCCTGAGAAAATACGCGTTATTTTAGGAAAAGAGAACAGAAGGACTGATAGCCTTTGCAGTTTTTATGCATTAATGGGAGATGCTATTTGATTTTGGTTCCTTGCCCAGTATAAGAGATCCCAGGGGGCCTAGTTAAAAGGAAAGCCAAGCTTATCTTAAATGAAAAATAAAATGTTTTATAAACATGAAAATTATGTGGCACTCAATAAAATGTGTTGGCAAGTGAATGTCTGCTACACAATATGATATATAAAATAGGTTAATTCCTCTTGGGAGAAGAACTTGAATTTTACTTATCATTGGAAGACTCTGAAGTAACTTTCAACAGGAACCTCTCTAAGGAAGATAAGCAGTGGTCTCTGATTTGCCGGTAGGCAGAGTGTGTGAGAGAGGGAAACAGCCCCTTCATCCTTGACCAGAAATGATCACCCTTTTTATTGTGTTTCAAGATATGCACAGAGCACCTGGTTGTCCCCAGGTCTTGGACCTTTGCTGGTCAGATGTCATATATACATCAGAATGATAGCCCCATTGATCTTAACGTGGCCCTTGTCTGAGAATAAAATGTGTAGATACAAGTGAAGAATTAACAACATTTTGTTGGCTTCTTTGAAATGTAAATTTAGCTGCCAAAGTGGTTTCCAAAAGTAAACTTCTGTTCTGTACATTTGCCCAAGGCAATGAATAAATTTCCAATAAAACAAACAATTCTTTCCCTGGGGTTGTTTTCTTCTATCTTCAAGTGGCACTGTGGAGAATTAATTACTTCATAATCTCACTCACTATAGCCTATCAAATTAAAAATGGTTATGGAAAAACAGGGCTTACCATCTATCACTGGTTTTGGCTGAGAACTTTTGAGGCGCAGTGAGGGCCGGAAGCGGGTTCGGTCGTTGAAGCTCCAGCTCTTCTGCACTTTGGTGGGGCTGCCCTCAGCTGTGATGTCGGTGCTTGGGGACCTCCTGTCACCTACTGAGGCTTGTCGGCTCTTAATACTCTGTCCCCTGGGGCTAGCCATGCGCACTCGCTCCTTAAAACTTAGCTTCTGACTGTGGAGAACAGAGGCATGATTATTCCATTTCAAGCAATTTCTTCCAGTTTGCTTGGGTAAATTATTTGATGAAGCTCATGTGGTCATATATTTCAAGAGAGAAGATGTTTTCAGCATATAGGAGCACAGCAATGTATTTTTCCCTTATTTAAAATTTAAGCTTTATCTAATCTCTGTATTTGCATTCCTTTGAGATCAATCTCATTCTACAGGTACACACATCTTTCTTGGATTCATCTTAGAAAGGCCTGAGGTCATACAGCAGTTTGTCCACAATTACACTGTAGATAACCAAGAACTGTTTTGGAATTAACTTGAAAAACAGTTGAATAATTTCAGCTTTAACCTCAACTTTTAAGATTTAAAAAGTTATTTTTTATTTGGGAACATATCTCTTTGTAATTTCTAAACATTTCTACAGGAAAACAGGGATGACAGTTACACTTATACCTACATTTGGCATGCATTTTATATTCCAGGCAAGATTATGATATCCATAAATTCATGCAGTGTCATAGCAGTTGGTAGCACCACATAAATAGTATTAAACATACAACACAACATTAGATTTCTTTTATGCTTACATTCGTACTTGTGAGATGAAAACCACACAAGATAGAACAGCCCCAACATATAATGAATGTGATGACTGATGAACGGAATGAGACGTTATGTTCACTAACACAATTTCCTGCTAGTAAACAGGTTATTGATTTGCTGTGGCAGCTACTGGTAAATTATATTTGTTCAGGCATTCAGCTCTGATGCTGGCTAAGATCGAACTGTTGTGGGCTGATAAAAGCAGCATTAACAAGAATCATAAAATCCAAAGTACATCTTCACGCTTTCCTAATCAAGAGCGGTGGTGTGACATGCTAGGAAAAGCAGGTTGGGATTAGAGACATGGGTGTTAGGGTCCTCATCTCTAACATGGAGATAAACACAGCAACACAGCTGAGGGATTTTTGTGGGAATCAAATGAACTATAAGAAGTTTTGTGCACCCATTTTGTTTTCTTGTTTCCTTTATAAAGTAATTGTGCCATTCGTTAGAAGGTGCTACCGTCATCAATGTGAGAGGCCCTGGACTCTGCAGGGCCTGAAGAAATCATGGGGCAGCAAGTCTGAGGGAAGTCACTCAGAGCAGCTACTCTGAGTCGTGCCGCAGCCTTTGTGGGGTATGAAAGCAGCATTCTCATGGATAAGGCTTATTGAGACGAAGTGGAGGCCTTGTTTTTTTCCACTTACCGCAATGTCCACTGTCCCCAGCTGCAGCATGCCAACAGCAAATGTGTTTAGTGGATATGTGTTTTGTAGCTAACAAGAAACAGTAACATTTATTTTTCCATGCCTAGTTGCTTAACAAACGATATTCTAAAAGGGCACCATGTTTCATGTGTGTTTACATGAAAACAAATCAAATAATGAACTATGGTGGTCAAGGAGTTCTGGAAACAATAAACAAGTTGACCATGCACTGACAGCTCCCCTCGGAAATGCAGACACGGCTAAGTCCCGCATGATTCACTGAAGGCACATGCAAAGAACAGACGGGGCAGTTTGGTGATGAGGTCAGGCGGGTTCAAGAGTTCTTTACGACAATCCCAACAGTGAAAGGGTTTAATCTGTACTTGACACAGGTGTGATTAAATGATAGATTACATTAAACAAGAGCAACAATAACATCATAAACCTGCATCTTTTAATTCTCAGTCTAGGTTTTCCATGTCATCCCAAAGCCTTCAATTATTTAAACAAATCCGTCAAAGGGATAGTGCCCAAAAATGTCTACTTCTCTCAAGCTCTTTTTCTTTTTTAAAAATGGTAAAAGTTTCAAATCTCTTTTTAGTTTCAACACATCTGTTCCATAATTTAAATTTACAATGATCTAGTTCAGGAAGCATATGTTCACTTCTGCACCTTTATTTAGATTAATGAATAGCTCAAGTTGACAAAGATATCATTACAATTGTCCTCACTATATTTGATTTTATCTATTACCTTTTCTGGAACTAACAGATGCTAATTACTATGAAAGGTTGGGTTTAGTTAATATCAAATTATTTTCTCAAACTTTCAAGATATATCTCTTTTCTATGCCAATTAAACAAAAAGGAAATGGATAAGACATCCTAAAAACAATAAGAAAAATTAAAAAAAATTCAATTACTAAAAAAGTAAAAACATCCAAAATGAAAGTATCAGCATTAAATCCACCATGGTTTATTTATAATAATATTCTTTTAAAAATCATTTCTATAAAGTATTTTTAAAAATTGCTTCTATGAAACATTTTGACATTACCTTATGAATAAATTGGAAAGTGGGAATAATATTCTCTAAATCTCAGTACCATTTATAGCACTTAAAGTTGACAAAAATAAATTCTAGGTAACATTTCCCTTTCGTCCTTCTAAGCTACAGGGATATTTGCTAATGTCTAATATTTTAAAGATTCCCGAGAATTATTTTAAAATAAACTCAGCATATTACATACCAAATCAGACAAAAGTAATGTTTTCATTTTCTCTTTTGACATAATTATGTGAAAGTTAAGAATAAGATTCGAATCAAGAGCTTTTTAACCAGGCAAAATTTTCTTTTCTAAAGCAAAGATCTGTAGTTGTGTCCTCTTACAAAAAGCTCACTTTTATTATTTTTCTACTTTGTGTCCCTTTGAAAATCAACAGAGCATCTTGATTGGATGACTATTAAACTGATTAGGTGACTGTTACTGAAAACACACATTGAACTGATTAAAAAATACAGACTCTTCCCTGGTACCTTGAAGTTTTCATTATTTTCCTGCATTTTTGGGTGACATCTATGCACATGATTTTTGAAGATTTATGTAACAGTATTTCTAGGAAGAATGTCAAGGATTATCCCCAGGAGACCAACAAGGAGGTCTTGCTTTACAGAAAGTAACACAAAATTGCTGTGGTCATTGATTGGAGCATCTTTCTTAGTATACAGTCCCACATTCCCAGCTGAGGACCATGCTCAGCAGAGCCCGCACAGTCACCCTGCAAGAGAGAATTCTCCCGTCTCTAGGAACTAGATGTACAGGTATTCAAATGGCTTAGCATGCAGTCTATTACCGGCTGTTCCCTGCCAGGGAACTGTGTGGCATCATCATAACCCCACGGTAATCCTCTGGGACTTAGAATGCTGTAGTTATTGTTATACTTAATTAGGGTTTTAGCCCTTCACCGGATAAGCGTTCTACAAATTCTCGCCTCAGGCACAATAAATATGGCAACTGAGCCATGACAATCCAGTGCGTGCAGCAGCTTAGCAGATGTCCAGCCACAAGGAGGCGCCAAAGGGCTGACTGCCAGTTCTGCGCGGGACGCCGACTATTGGTCCCAGCGGTGGAGAGTGTCAAAGCAGGCAACAGGCAACAAGGAAAATTACAAGCGGGTTAAAAACCTCATTCGAGTCCCTAGAAAGAGTGAGTCTCTGAACAGGGCTCAGTTGGGGTGGGTATAACCTGGTCATGCACCTGAGGTTAGTTGGCATTCTCAAGTCTCATGTCAATAGCCCGGATGCTGGGTACCTCTGCTTCCGTGAGGTGTACGTTCTGAAGAGCTTCTGCTTATTACTACAGAACTTACTAGGAGTGAGGGAAACAGGGCAGCACATTACTAAGCATTTCACGAATAGGAAAGTGCTTAGGGATTCTTTCTTTTATAAAAACAAAGCCATTTGGCTTTATTGTTTTTAATATAGAAGCACACAGACTATTTAAGCAGAAAGTACTATGTTGTTTAACTGTGCTGCTTGAAAGCTATCCAGTGATCTTAATGACTAGGTGGAAAAATTAGATTTGAACTAGACATTACGAATGACGACAGTCTCTGTGTTAGCATGTTTCATATGAAAATAAGAATAAATACTTTAGAATACAGCCACCCCTGTAATAAATATCAATAAAACAGAATATATGAGTCATAATACACTTTAGAACTTTAAGGAATAAATATTTACAGAAATCAATAAATTCGTAACTGTTGAAATTTAAAAACATAAGTTCTTGGTTTGTGGGAAACCTCTGCAGTTAGAGTTGATACAGGTAACCAATTGTCATAATATGTTCAACAAAACAGAAGAAAAGATTCTAGGTTGCTAGTTTGTAGAAAAAGAAAGAAAAGTACATTTCTTATTTTAAGTCCTATGATGTGTTGTTAAAAGCCTAACTCCATTTTCTCTATCAATAAATGTGAACAGAAGGAGAGACCATTTTGGAAAGATTGTTTTTGAAACAATGGAACATTTTGCCAATAAGGACACAAGTTGGCTATGTTGGAAAAAAACATAGTTTAGTCTCACTGGGTTTAGTTTAACAACACATGCAGATCATTCATTGCACACAGAAGAAAGAAAAATTAAATAATGGAAAATAAATGCAGAAGAAATATAAGAGCACACCATCTTCCACCAGGGTTCTAGAGTTCTCTACAAGAGCCACACACTGCCTCAGAACCCAGTAAAACCAATCACGCAGGAGTGGTTCAGAAAAAGCACTCAGTGGCTCACAACATAAGAGTGTAACGTAAGACAAAAATATCATTTGTGCCTTAACTTTTAAGATATGCATCTTTACAACAGTCTCACAGGTACCTAGTAAAGCAACTTTAGTCTACTAAGAAATCTGAAAGGGTTCTAGTAACACTTTCAATATTGCCATTAAGGAAGCTTAAGTATCAAGCAGGCGTATAGCCAACCATTGTTGATTTAGAAGACAGAGTAAGTAGAGGCAGCAAGATGTACAGACAATCTCAAAACCTCAGACAGTACAATCTGTTTTTGTAGCAATAAAACTTAGGTAGAAGGAAGGAAAAGCCTTCTTGTACCAATGTGATGACCAACTGACTACTATTTGATCATAGGGTCAAGGAGGAAGGGAGAACAACATGGAACCCTCAAGGTGGGAAAACTGGCTTATTCTGGCCAGAGGGGTTCTCAGGCAAATTCAGTTCTCTGAAAAGGACAATTGAAATTAACACAGAAAAAAACCTGTCCAGTTTAAAAAATGATTTTTTCCAACTGATTTTTAATAGAACGAAATAAACACATTTACCACCACATATGTGAGATTAGAACTGTTTAAGTGGGAATTCAGAGGAAAACGAATGAGTGATTAAATAATGCTAAAGTTAAGTATTCATGATTGGAGTAGAGGAAAAACAGAGCAGGCTCAGTTGAGACTAACAGTAATTTGTGCCTGACTCTGTACCAAAAAGAAGTGATGAAACAGTATTTCCGCTATTGCTCAGTTGAGCTATATTTAAAAGGCTCTTCTTCAGATTGATGTCTTGTATTTGTTTTTTGTTTTGTTTTGTTTTGAGATGGAGTCTTGCTCTGTTGCCCAGGCTGGAGTGCAGTGGCTCGATCTCAGCTCACTGCAACCTCTGCCTCCCAGGTTCAAGCGATTCTCCTGCTCAGCTTCCCAGGTAGCTGGGACTACATGTGTGTGCCACCACGTCTGGCTAATTTTTGCATTTTTAAAGTAGAGGTGGGGTTTCACAATATGTTGGCCCAGTTGGTCTTGAACTCCTGAGTTCAGGTGATCCACCCGCCTCCGACTCCCAAAGTGCTGGGATTACAGGCGTGAGCCACTGCACCTGGCCATTGTATTTTTAAAGAAAGTTTTTGGATCTGTCACAAACAATGTGATATTTTTCCTTAGCCCAAGACATCGTAGACAAATTTTGTTTAAACATACCCTTACCTCAGTGTAGAAAGACAAAAATCTCTTTTTAAAAAGAACATTCCAAAGGCAGTAATATAGTTAACTAAGGGTTCTACAAATGTGTTCAACATCATAATCAATTTTGCAGAAAGAAAAGTCTCTCTGTACGGCCCAGTCTCTAGTCATGGCTCCGTCCTTCGGTGAGATTGCCAGGCACCCAGAAGGGGATGCTGGTTGCTGTGTGGAACTCAGCTACACTTGGGTTACTCTCAGTTTGTAACACATAGAAAACCATGAGGAAGGACTTAGGAGATTCCAAGCTCTGAGCTAAAAGATGAAAATGTTGGCTCCTGCTTGAGCTGAAGCTTGTCTACTTTGCTAATCTAAATCACCATCAATAACTCAGTGGTCCCAAAGGCAGTAAATGACTCTACAGTTGGGTGGTGTTAATTAGTTCCTCTGAAATGGGGTCAAGCATTAATTAACAATACTCTAGACTCAGATCTGCTCTTCTCTAAGGAAGAACTCGCATTATAAATGCATTTCACTTCATGCATATTTTGCTTGGGTAAGGACAACTTTGTTACTTTCTAAGATGGTACTGTTGCTATTGTTATTACAACAGCCTTTCTGCATTCATTATGTAGGATTATAAATTCTGTATGTGGAGCACAAGGTGAAAGCTTACATACTATTAAAATGGGAGCTTCAGCTTATTTAGATCATTGCAATGTCTTTAATTTTCCATTTCACTTTTTATATTTCTCCTCACTTCCCACTTTTTTGTTGGTGTTTTCTCTCTTCCCACAAACTACTTGAGGTCAGGGGCATTTTATTACTCTATCCAATAATTATTTCTTGAGCACATTCTGTCATAGCTTTACCCAGAGTGACGTGACAGCTAGCTGAAAGACAGGAGGCCTAAGTGCATGAAATGTAAGACATTAAGTAAGGAATCCAGACTAAGAATAGTACAGAACTTATTTCAGGGTGGTTTTGCTAAATGTTCAATGACCACAGAGAAGCAAGAAATTTCTGTGTGTGATTCTCTAAGTCATCAACCCATTTCAGTGGTTTTGGACATATTTAAAACTATGTGTGAGTTATCATTGACAACCTCAGTCACAAATATACAGCAGAGAGGTAAATGCTGTAGATATATGTGAACATCCTAAATGTAGAAAATTTGCTTGGTAGTTTTTTTGAAATGTGACAACTGAGTAGGAAGCTCATTTTTGGACTGGTGAGCAGAAGCTCAACACTGATACTTTAATTTTGTCTTTGTTTTCTGCTGTGCTAACATTTAAAAACAGTGCAGTATCATTGTGTCAGCCCAAGGTGACCCCTCACTCAGGATTGCCATAGAGTTTATGCTTATTCAAGCACCTCCATGTGATTTACAAATTTCTCTTTTAGTTGTTAACAGCTCCGTTTTGGAGGATAAAACTAAGATGGTGATCACATTCTCAGGTAGCTCTGCAATTTGTGCCAAAGATGGTCTCTGTCCTTTGGATTTGGAGGCAGACACCCTTTGAGAGACTTAGGAAATGGATAGCTCCTGAGACAACGAAAGCTTTGAAAAGATCACAAAAGCAACTGTAATCTAGCTTAAAATGGCTATGATTTATTTTGTGTAACTTTTTTCAAGTAAAATTGTCACAACAGAAGGATGGTGAGCTCTGTATGGAATCTAGAAAAAGTAGTAAAGGTCTAGAATTGGTCAGCTTATCTCCTCCAGTGTCTAGGCAAAGACTATTCTGAATCTAATGACTAGAACCTCTCTTTGGTCAAAAACTTTTCTTAGGTGGGGAAGAACAACTTTTTCTGGAAATATCACCAAGTAATATCCAATGCCCTTGACTCTAACTCTATGCTACCAAGTAAGAGAAGGGACTTTAATGCCATCCCTTGGGTAAATTACCTGCCCAGAAGTTGTGCCTGATGTTGTAGAGCCTATGGTATCTATCTCCCATCATAGATGAATGCATTTATATTCTGATTTGTGAATCTTTACACATTAACATAATGCAAAAATGGATAATCCAGAACGTTAACATCCCAAGTGAACTTTCAAAACTGGTTTCAGTATTGCATGAATCTGTTATGATTGATGTAATTATTATAATAGTACAAAGCTAAAAGAACAATCCCTGGACCCACATTGGCCTCCACTTGGGGATCAACTCTGGGTAGGTGGATGCTTTCATTTCTTTGCTGAAACAAGTGACAATGACAGGAAAAAAAGTTATCCCTTCTACCTTTCCAGGCACCTGGTTCTGCCCCTGCCACTCATCACATCATTAATGCTGGGTTCCACCTGGTTCTGTTTTTCAGGGCTTTGCTCTCAAATCTAGACACTTCCTGGTACCCATTAACACATATTAAGAAATTTTTCTTTCACCTCCCATTCCATCTAGGTTTAATTCTCTGCTGTAATCTGATGAAGCATTCCATCTATGGCATAAAAAATTGACCATAAATTATTTGGTGAATTTTGGGGAGGGCTGGCTTCTTCCTAAAAGATGGCGGTGGGACTCTTTTTTGAGTCACTTGAGTAGACTTCAGCACTCGGTGGGCTAGAGGTGTCACAGAGACAGGGTTTTCATCTCCTATACACAGTGTTCCTATCGCCAAAAAATTGATTACGTGTGTGTGTGTGTGTACAATTGAAATTTCCATGTACACACACACACACACACACACACACACACACAC